TACGCAAAGCAATTTTGTTTTTGTAGAAAAGTTTTTTTATTTTATTCTATTCCCCCCACACCTTCTCTCTGAATATTCATCTAATTAATTCCGATAATCGAAATTCTCTGTATTGGAATGCGTGAAAATTTGAAATATTCAATATTGCATATATTGAATTATAATATATAATATTACTTCAAAATAGAGAATTAATTTGTTGATATAATGGGGAATTGCGTTCTATAACAAAAGTGATCTATTTGCAGTATTGTATCTGTGAGTTATCGATCGACCGCATTAGGGGCTGACATAATTATTGTGTATGCTATAGGAATCGCTAATTAGAGACTATTATATAATCTATGAACACACGATATATAATAATTTTCAATGATTTTTATCCTTTTATATATAATATGAAAGATCTTTGATAATTATATGCGGCTGACATCATTATTGAATATGCTATGGAAATATGTCACTAATTAGATATTATTATATAATCTATGAATATGCGATATAATAATTTTCAATGATTTTTATCCTTTTGCATAATAAGAAAGACCTTGTAACAATGATTTATGCCGAATCTTTATGTCAAAGAAGAAATGTTGTAAAGTTAATATCGGAATATTATTACAGATATTGAATTAATAATAATAAGATATTATTTCAATATAAAAAAATACTATTGCTTGCAAATGTATGAAATTTATAAAATATTGATACTATTTCTGAATTATGAAAATTATCCGAAAAACACAATATTGAGAAATACAGCATGAAAAATAGTGCGTTTTGACATCAGTAAACGAATTTAAGCGCTTCGAGAATTGAGCGGAAGGAAGTTTCGGTTTTTATCTGACTTGCTTCGTTCGTCAGTCGATTTATGCTGTCGAAAAGACGCGAAGGAGCTAGCAAGCAGGATATTGTAGCAGGACGGACGATCGAGAGGAGACCAAATCCTCGACGACGTCTCTCATGCATAATCCAGAAGTTTGTATTCTTGAGAATGCCGTCCCATCCGAGCTTCCCAGATTAGGTAGATATTTTTGTTTCTGCATCTGTACTTTGACATCGCAATATTCTAGTTCCATTTCTGGAACAATGCGATCAAGATAGCATCTTGTACGATGAAAATTGTGTTACACGCAGAATTTAAAATTGAGTTATGAAACGCAACAAAATATTGATATAACTTTGTCAATTTAGCTGTTTACTATCTTGGATAAAAAAGTAACTTGTTTTGATATAATTTCAACAATTTTTTAGTCTTTTATTGTTCTCTAATATGTATACAGTTCACAAAAAGCCATTTCTGTCATTAATTAACTTGACATTAATGGCTGTTGTAGTAATAAGGCGAGGTGGGTCGTCGCTACTTACTATCTAACAATAAAAGCACTGAAAAGAACATTTGCTCGCAATTTTTTCGCTCTGACGACTTTTTATGTTCGTAGAAACGCATAGAATGGCTGCTAGTAAAACAGACAGAAAGACGCTTCATTAAACCGCTCGCTTTCGCGAGAATGTATATATTTCCGAGCGTTTTATATGCATTTTCTAGATGCGCCTCTTTCATACGTTGTTCAAATACGACGTATGACCGTATGTACTCTTCATTATGAGAAATATCAGCGACCAAAAGGATATGAAGCGCCAACGCAGTTTTACGAGCGTTGCGCTTTTCGCAACTGCATAAATTATGTGTTCGCTTGCTTCCGTATAAAAATTTATTGCTGTCTACAAAATTAAATTCATATCCATAATTGTTGACGAAATGAAACACGTGGTCGATTTCCATGTCCTCAATTTCTCAATATCGGTTGCGTATCGTTCCGCGCGTTTTCCCTAAGGATTGAAAGATATTTTGATACCATTTTTTCGATTTTTTTCGCGCCAGATTTCATTAATCGAGCTGACGTACACAATAATCTCTCAACAAGATCTCAACGGTATCCGCGGAATTCATTTCAGTCGAATAATATTTTTGTTTCATGCTTCGCTTTTTTTTCAATATCGTGCGAACACAAAGGCCGACAGCCGGGAATTTACGAATTACGCGTCTTTCATTCAGCGCGAAATTAATTCGATGCGGAATGGCACGCGAAAGTGTTCCAGTGCTGCTCTCAAATTTTTTCATTGTGTTTCAGGGACGCTCGGCGAACAATTTCAATTATTTTATGCAAACGTCGCGATTCCGTAATTTTCCGCCCGTATCGATCAACACAACCGTCCTCGTGTGTGTTTACAAAAACCTTTTTTCTCGTTACAATCTACATTTGCTGGGCTATCTTCATCGAACCGCAACGAGTTGCACTTTGAAAAAAAAATCGATGCTATCGTAATTAAAAAAAAAAAAAAAAAAAAAAAAAAAAAAAAAAAAAAAACAAGCCTTACGCGAAAAAGATTTTATTTTTATTCAGACGTCATCGATGAACGATTCGATTAATTTCAGTTCAAGTACGATGTGAAACAACAATGTTTGTGAGAAAATAGCTTTCAGATAAATGCGATCACAGGCTGTACAAAACTTGCGTTCGATCGGGACGATCGTAACACTTCGATAGCAAATTCAGACACGAACGAATCGAAAGCGGAGATAGGCTCGCATCCGCGAAAATATTGGACGGGATAGGCGAATACGTTTTTTCTCGCTTCTTTTTTTTTCTGATGATGTATAGTGATAAACGATGTAATTTTTTTTTTTTGGTAGAGGAAGAGGGAGAGAGGTAGTTCCTGCGGCACCTTCGCCACGACAGAAACAAATTTCGCGTGGTCGACACGCCGGGCTCGAAAAACTGGACAGTCGGGGTTCTCTTTGCAGTTTCTCTTTTTACTCTCTGACTAGTTTCCGGTTTCTTTTTTCCCTCTTTTGTCTCGTTCTCCTGGTTTAAAACGTCACACATTCATCAAACGGATCAAACAACCACGCCCTGCGCGCAACTCAATTAAAAAAAAAATATTTATTTGAAATAATAACTTACTTTGCTATATCACAATACATGATTCGATTAAGAAGTTTTGGAAACCTTAAGCTGTATATAATTTCAATCAATTTTCCTATCATAAATCATCATTTAATAAATAAAAATATCTTTGAAAGAGCGGAAATTAACGCAGTAATATCAATATATCAAAATTTGATTTTTAAATAAAGAACAAAAGTTATTTCCAAAGTTGTTCCTCGAGCATTTATTGTTTCGCAGATTTGTGATCTCATCGTTCATGATATGGCAGTTTTGTCTGTTTCGATAGGTATACAGTGTTTTATTCTGGACATGTCTCGTCACTCGCGAGCGATTCACACGTTCCGGCCAAGAATCGAAAGCCGCGAGCGATAACCAGAATTGCGGATGCGTTTTTTTCGGGAGAATCTATTCATATCGCGGCATCTGTTGTCCTGAAATCAATTTCCCCGTTACCGAAAAAAGGAGAAAGACAGAGAAAGAAGATCGCATTCATATGAGGACTATGTAATTCATCTCGCGGACCGCGAACGGAAGTGCTTATTGAAGGTTGCTATTTCGATGTCGATTGATTTCTGGCAGTATGATAACGATGCTTCCGGTGATAATGCTATTTTTCTTTCGTGACCCGACAAAATTGAGCATTTTGCGTCGATCGAATTGCGGATAATTTTGTTGGGATTGCTGAATCGGGAAAATTAGTGTCGCTCATGCCATTTCAGCGAGGCAAAATCTGATAAACGCGTATTTTACGTGATTCGTGTATGAATTATAATGCACATAATTAAACCGTTAATTGGAACATACAGATTTAATGGTGACCAGGAACGGCAGAAACGTGCACGAAATCAGTAAGTGTGTTATCGTAAAAGGTTGGGCTGACCCACGCGCGGCTTTTATCACTTAATTGCTTATTAACGTATAAATCATGAAAATTGTTCAAAAAGATGTATACATCAGCGGTAATTTTTGGCGTAAATAGCATTTAGCTTAATTTTTCTAAATATACTTGTAATTGTTAATTAAATCTGTCGGTTGATTGCAAAAAAATCAGAGAATAATAAATATAAATTATATTTTTTAAACAGATATTATTTTGAGAGATATAATTTTTGACATAATCCACGGAATAAATCTTTTGCTGCAAATAAAAAAATTATAATAAATTTTGGAAACGGTGATCATATATATTTTCATTAGAAAAATAAATCTCGCATATTTTCTCTGCGAGTGTACATGTTACTTTACGTATAACAAAAGATTGAAAAATATGGTAAAATATTATAATTGGAGATACATGCCATGTAATATCATTATTCGTATGTGCATAGAACAATAAAACACAGAAGTGAATGTGGATATAATTAAAAAGTATATTCGAGAGCGCACCCACAAGACACGAATTAATGGCGCGAGGATGTGCGAAATGGTTGCCGGTGGACAACTATTTTACAATAAAACAGCACGCCACGCGGGCGTTACCGAAATAGTTTATCGCGCGCTGCTATACATAAATATCCCATAATGGCAGATATTGTTGGCGGTAACTCAAACAGGCAGACGAGATTCTCTATTGGATGTTCGTGAATTAACGGGACACTGTAATTTTTTGTGTAACGAATATAATATCGTATAATTATCAATTTATCGCCAAAAATTTAGAAAATCTAGATAAGATTTGAGATAAAATTAATTAAAAAACTACCAAGTACAAACCTACGAAGTAACTCAACAAAGTTTGTTGCAGAATTTCGATAAAAATATATTTAAATAATACAAAATAATTATACATGTAGATAAAACACCAAAATAGTGTATGTAAAGGCAAAGTTGCATCAATGTAACGTAACAGAAATTAAACTGTTAATTGGAACGTACAGATTTAACGGTGATTGGGAGCGGCAAAGTTAGGCTGACCACATACCGCTTTTATCACTTAATTTTCTTAAGGTTGCATTTCTAATATTGAAGATACACAAGGCAAATCTTTTCGGTTACTCAATATTATTAATATAGATAATATAGATTAATATAAGGATAGATACTTACCAATCACCGTCAGATTGGCCGTCTGATAAGTGGTGGCAAAGGACGGCGCCTCGGTGGAAACTTCGCATTTGTATTGGCCCGAGCTTTCGAGGATGAGATCCTTCAATCTTATTGAAGATTTCTTTTCGCTGTTCGATCTTGGCTGTGGGCAGAAAGAATGCGGAAATGTATTTGCTTTGCTAATGGAGGATTTTTGTAGCGGGTAGAAGCGTGATGTCATCGCCTAGCGACGGATCTATGCTCGAATTCCATTCGAAGTTAGGGCTTACCTCACGCGACTGTATACGTATAAACGTATTTTGCGCGCAACCAATATTATTTCCGAGACAATCAACGCTTGATTGTATTTGCGAGATAATGGAATTTCCGGAAATAACGCAGAATTCAATTTTTCAAATTGAGAATTGTTATAATAGAGTTTGTAATATATGTATACATTTTCCAAATATTCAATATCAAAATTATAATTATAAAAAGTGAAACATTACAAGAAATATCAAAGACGTAAGGTATAGATATGCCACATCATACATAAAATAAAATTCTAATATGTATAAGTTATTTGTTGCGTAAATGTAAAATTTTTCTCCTTACAAGACATTAAATGCTAAACTAGGCACTTTTATTTTCCGAAGTTTATAGAGGAAGATGTAGTTTATATCATTGTTCCATTCGATTGTCCAAGCAGTCATGCATGTTGTATTTCGGTCTTGCTAGGTTTAATTAGATCCTGTCTACTGCGTGTCTCTATCTGTAACGTTAGCTTGCCGTTGCTCGAAGAGTCATGTTGCCGCTATCAGAATAACGGTCGTATTGTCTTCGCGGGGCATGCATCGTCATCCTCCACGTGCGACTTCATTGATAGCGGGGTGGAAGGCGCGGGGGGCGTTTGCGGCTTATCGATAATTCATGGCCCGTTACCGGAGCCCGAGACATGGCCTCGGCTGCTCGCATTAGGTTCGATTAGGTACATCCGCGGTCCAATTAGCTCTCCACGTATGCGACGACGAAGCCGATGCGGGTCCCCACCGTTAACATTTATGGGAAATCGAGCATCCGTATCGATCACCGAACACCGATCTCAAGATTTCGCATACACGCCGATATTCCGATACTTGCGAGTCCCGATGTGACTTTGATCGATTCACTTCGTTTGTCAGATGATGAATACTTAATATCTTGGAGTACGAAGGGCCGATAATCTAATTAACTCCCAATTCTAGAATCTCTGTTTAATTCTCATGGCGCTCGCTTTGGCCCCGCTTTGGAGGTCAAATCTAATCGCAAGAGAACGTAATATAATTACATTACTCAAATTTGACTATAATAATTGATCAAATCTAATTAAAATCTAATATTCCACAAATTATATGGATTGATTTAGAATTCTAAATCCTTTCATTTTCTCAAATATAAACAATATATATTTTTAGATTTGATATATTAATTTAATTGTATCATAAGTACATCAAGATTTTAGATTCATCGAGGTGGAATTAGAGACAACTCTCGCAGAGCAACGCGCAAGGGAAAAGCGGATTATTGATGCGGCCGCTTTCAATTTGGTCGTCGAGACGCCCGCGCGAAGCTGCACCGCATCTGGCTCGTTGCCGCGCATCCGATAAAAGCCGTCTCTTTCGTAATTTCCGGCTACATTAAAGGCATCTCCGGCGGCCGCGTCGTCGATCTTCCGATATTCTGATAATCCACGCGATCTCAGACGCTAAGGAAAATTGCCGTTGATAGTGACAGGCATGCCGCTCTCTCAATCGACGATCCGGATGGCTCGCGGTGATGGTTAATTAAAGTGAATTAGAAACTTTCGTTTGTTTCACCCTTGCTAGAGGAGATAGCGGAAACTTTGACCAATTTAACGTGTCCATGTGGAATATGCTATTGCAATCGTATAATCGGCGTTAAAATAATTGATACATGTTTTGCTTCATAGTTAAGCTCTATAGTAATGGTTTATTAAACAACTTATTAATAATGCGCGTATAAATCTATATTTATTTAATATATTCGTTGCGAGAAATATGTAAAAATGATAAAGATTAGGTGTCTTTAGTGTCAATAATTCATAGCGTTAATAGAATAATGCAGGAACTCATAACAACTGGTCGGAGATAAAAGACCCCTGGTCATAACTCGTGACAATTGCAGTTCTTTTACAACCTTCGTCAGTTTTACGAAAGCGCGGAAATACAAACAAACGCAAGCCCTTGCTTAATTTCGTTCGAAACTTTCAGCTTTGCACATTTACGAAAGCCGCCTAACACGTAAAAAGTTTTAAAGTTAGTGATGTAGCAGCTCCGATGACGCGGCGCGATAGATTATGCTTATGTAAATCGACACGGAAGAAACTCATTATGATCGCAAGAGGGAGGAATATTTTATCAGAATCACGTCAATATTTATATCAGTCGTTTCAACTCCGTTTTGTTGAGCTATTCCAATAATCGCAAAGAAGATTGACAGTCCTAAATCGCAAGTAATTCATTTGATTATAAAACATAAATTTAAAATATCAAAAAAAAAAGAAAATTTCTAGAAGACACGTGTAGAATAAATAATGCATTCAAGTTCGGGTGTTTCTTTAATAAGCACAAGTCAAAAATATCGTTCATTTTTAATATACGTCCTCTGTTTAATTCTCTCTTCTTCCGAGGAAGAAATCGCGCCGCACTTTGCCGAGGATAAAATCCTCTCGAATATAAAAGCGCAGCGATTTTACACGCATCGTGGAAACGCGGCCGGAGCGAGATAGCACGGTATAGTACGAACATAAGACCCAATGTAATTCCTCAAAATGCGCGGTGGAGCTTACACATTTCGAAGAGCGGCGGATTTTAAATCCGCCCCCGCGCGCGACGCTTGGTGCCTTCTGGCGTAAGAAGAGCAAAAAAAAAAAGAAAAAAAAATAACGGCCGACCGGAGACTCTCTCGCCGGTGTAATTTCCTCGAGGTAATAAACTAAAAGCATCTTTCCCCGGTTGCCTTTCCACCGAATCTGCCGCCATCTCGACCGGCTCGACTCGACCCTGCTCGACTCGGCTTCGGCAGGGCACCGATCTCACTCGTTCTCTCTATGCTCGGGTACAAAATTACTTTTATACCGGCGGATAGAAGCTCGAAATAATTCGAGGGACGAACGAGGAAGCGAAGTCGAGGAACTTAGGCAAATTCGCTCGGAGCCCTTCTTGACTTCGTCCTTTAAGTTTCGAAATTGTACACCGTTCGCGTATTAAGAGATCCCTGTGGGAAGGGGGGAGAGAGAGAGGGGAGGGGAAGGGCATGAGGGAAACTACGCCAGACCAGATCTCGCTGAAATAGGATACGAGGAGAAGAGAAGACCCGCGTCTCTCGAAGTTTTCGACTCCCTTGATGACACTGAGCTGTAAAATTAATCGCGCGGAGCGAGATTTAATGGCATACTTTGTGGACGACGAAGATATCACCGACGGTAATCAACCGGTCTCAACTACGTTTTCTCGTCAATGATCATTGATTAATTAATAATCTGAAAATGAGGTTTTTGAAAATGATTATGAAAATGATTAAATATGCTGTCGGTTATAAATAAGCCAATTATACCGTTATCTCCATTTTTGGAGGCCAGGATTCTCGCTATTCAGTTACTTTTCTTAGATCATATTTTTCATAGACGTTAACAATAAGACATTATAGTCTTCGATGTCATCGAAATCATTATTTGAAAAATGTATCGAAAATCAGAGAGAGAAAAAGAAAGAGAGGGAGAGGGACAGGAAATAAAGAAGGGAGAGAAAGAGGTTTGCAATGCCTTGTTATCGATGTTGTTGAGTATCTCTCGCGAGTTTCTTTGTACCGGCCGACAATCCGCTGTTTCATCAATTGGATTTCTCAACTTCGTCTACTTACTTTTGTTGTGACCTCGAAAGAGGAGGCTTCAATCTTCCCGAGAGATAGACGGAAATTATACAAAAGGTCGCGTAGCAATCAGCCTCTTCTCGGCGATGTGCGAGTAGAAACGTAGGTGAGTGATGAGAGGAGAAACGATGTCCGGAAGTTAGCTGGGTACAGACGCGAAAGTTTTCGAATCCCGGATAACGAGATGTTGATTCGCAACTTCTTACCGCGACTGCAAGTATAATACTTGAGTAAGAGAAGAAAAGAAGGGAGAGAAAGAGAGAGTAAACCTTGCACGCGCGCACGAGTAGCTTGACATCTTCGCTCATCTACGTCGCCGCATGGAACTTTGGTTCATTCGATACAGGAAAGACACACTCCTAGGTACTTTCTGGAAAACGCGAGTGCCATGGTAATTTGTCTTTCGACCGCGAGAGACGTTATTAAAGCGGAAATAAATATAGATGCGAGACGAATGGAATTGCGTTCTAATAGCTATTCGTCGCTATTTTTTATTTTACCCTACCATTTGTTCTACTGCAGTTATCGATGTCCTTCTCAAATATTTACAAAAAAATTATATATCTTTTAATTAGAATTTCTTAAAATTAAAGATGATTAAAAATTGAAAGAAACAATTTAAACAAAATTATATTGATATATACGCAAATGTGTTTAAATATTTTCATTACTTTTACATCCAACAGAGGGTAATCTCTCGCTCTTAGGGAGACGGGACTTGAATTAGCGTTTGTAATATCATAACGCTATGCTACTCCTTTTGCGCACAGGATAATTACAGTTAGTTGACCGTAAACTCGAATTCCTTTCCAGCGCGGTTCTAATGTCTGTGCATATACACCCGGCTTTATATTCAATTCTTTTTATTGTCGTAGTCAATGTGTCTTCCACCGGCATTAATACGAGAAAAAGAGATCTCCTTTCCCCCCCCCCCTTTCCCCGGGGCTGCCTTTTAAAATGTACTTACAACGTACCCGTCTTATCCGGCGAACCACGAAGACTGCCGGGTTACATGGCGCGTTAACTTTGAATAACCTGTAAGCCGCCTTCTCTTCGAATCTTTATTCGTCGCGATGAGTTTCCGAGGATAAAAGTCGTGCACGAATGAACGTCACAACGATTATGGCCGTTAAAATCCCGTGGCCGACAATAACGTATAATTGTCTTGTAAGATCGCGATAGACGGACATTAAACGCATCACGACTGTTGCAGGAGCGCAATTGTTCGGATGA